TTCGCTAACTTCCACCAGACATGTGACCAGAGAATGACTCAGCTGAATCAACCATCTTTGTGTCAATACGCACCACTAGAGTTACAACACTGAGATTTCCTGTGTGTTTTAGCAGCCCTGTGTCAACAGCCAATGACATAAATGCTGCAATCTTGTGCTTTGCTTTGTCCGAACTGCTGGTGGGTTAAAGGGGAGGAGGAGATGATCTGAGAGGGATCAGAAGGAACGAGCAGGTGTAAAAACAGTCCCAAAGGTGAATGAGAGAATCTGATGCTGTCCCAGACTGCTGAAATAGCTATCACATGAACACACAATATCCAGGGGTAACACATATATTGTTTCAATAGAATAACACTCCACATTTATTTAGGAAAGGTTTAAGCAGTTGATATTGACAGTACAGCGATGTGTGTTTAACACAAAAATATCACACTTTTTTTTTTTGCCATTTATTTATATTTTGTTAAGAACCCAAAAATATATTGGTTTGACCAAAAAATGTAAATTAATAAAAGCAAACACATTTTCTATTTATCAAATAATCCTGAAAAAAAAGACCAAAAAAGCAGCACAACTGTTTCAAGATATGATTTTTAGCACCAAATCATGTGATCCTGAAGACTGCAGTAATGATGCTGAAAATTCAGCTTTGCACTCACAGGCATAAATTACATTTCAAAATATATTGATATAGAAAACAGTTGTTTTAAATAAAAAAAACTAAATAATTTTTACCATATCTTTTATGAAATAAATGCAGTCTGGGTGAGCATAAGAGACATCTTTCAAAAACAATAATTAAAAACATATATCTTCCTGCATGACTCATTGTATGTTGCTATTTTTTTTGCATGACTCAAGTGTATGTTATTATTATTTTTTAATTGTTTGTCATTTTAATCAAACTGTAATGAATTGCTCCACCACTTTCTTTTCTGGTCAGCTTTATCAAGCCTCTTATGTAATGCCCATTCTTTATTTTTTGACAGTTTAATTCCATGTTTCTCCTGAAAATATGATGCAAATGGGCTGTGTACCGCATTTCATTCTGAACACTCAAAACTATTCCATAAAAGTTAGCATATGCTTCATGCTGCATCGATATTATGATCCTCCAAAGCTATTGTGACAAACGCATTCAAATTCTACTCATCGGTTTTACAATATGAGCCAAAACCCCTCCATTGACTAGCCTAAAGTGTTTACATATTTAAATATCTGAATGCTGAGGTTAAGTATCATGTCAGCAATTAGCAGTCGCAGTGATATTACTCTGCCCAGTGGATTTTTATGCTAATCAACACAAGAGCTTGTATGTCCAGCGTAAGCTGTTGCTAGCGGCCCATTCACAAAGTGATGTGCAATTCCTGCTCTTGATAAAAACACACAATGATGATATTTGCATAATGGCTTTGCTTGCACCTGCTTCCAGCAGTGCTTTGCTTCCTAGCTAAAGACACACACGCACAAACAAATACGGAATTTAAACAGCTTTAGAGTGACTCACATACAGGGAAACTGCATAAATACAGAATGCCTGCTGAGATATACAATTACATGTGGATTTATGCATGCACTCGTACAGTCACCACTGGCTGAGTTATAGAAGAAGAACGAATTCAAAAGACCTGAGCATTCACGCAGCTACAGAACGAGATAAAACTGTAAGCGATGAAAAGAAGAAGAGAAAGAAAATGGGAACACAAAGACAGTGTGTGTCTAGAAGTAGTAAATTACGGTGCAATTTTCTGCTAAGGGGACGGAGCTAATTGATGGAGCCAGAGAAAGAGGAAGTCAGTGAGAGATAGCAATGAGAGAGAGGGGTAAGAGAGATCAGCTCCTGCGGTTGGCCACTCAACTTAGCCCCAAACCCTAATCTACATCTCACATCTGAGAAGACCAGCAAAACTTTCTTTGTGAAGCTGGTCGAAGCAAAGGTTGGGCTGGGAAACGAGAACAGGTCCTTCATTTGAACAGATACATTTTAAAAAAATAAAAGTATCAGGATTAAATTATCTTCACAATATTTGGTTCTATTAATGCCCTATAGGGCCTTTCGCACTGCGGGAACCTTTTCATAGTACCAGAACTAATTGTGGAACTACCCATTTTTGCTGTTTTCGCACCGCCGGAACTGGGTGCGATTTTAGTACTGGACTGCCTTTTTCGAGAACCAAATTAGCTCCCACTCCGGAGCAGGGTCTAACCAGCACAACTGGTATAAAGCGTGACGTAAGTAGACATTGATGGGCCAAACGCGTATGAAAATCCCCTCACCCGCCATGATTTAAAACGCCGTGTAAACATACTGTAAACATTGTGTCAACTTATTTCGCAAGTATGGAGAACAGCGATAGATGCACGGACGCTGAAGTGCAGGCACTTGTAGTAAATATAGCACTGCCAGTTGTCGTTGGAGATTCTTAGTCCTCCTTTCCGTTCTTTCAATTGCTTTACGTATACGTCGACTTTCCATGTCCATTATTGTGAAACCCGCGAGACACAACAAAAACACAGCTCACAGCGTCCTCCATCCTCTTGTTGTTAATGTTGCTGTTCTTTGTTTCTGTTGTTGAACGCCGCGCACAAATGACGACGCTGTCGACCGGCTTACATCACTTCTTAGTACACACTGTCGGTGCGAATGCAACCCTTTAAATGGTACTGGGAAATAGTTCGCGCAAAATCGTCCCAGTACTTTAGTACTGTACATTTAGTTCTGGAACTAAAGCGGTGCGAAAGGCCCTAATGACTATTCAGTTTCATTCACAGAGTCTAAATGCTAAATGAATGACTCTTGTGAGTCAGTTCATTTTAGTGAATCCAAAACATGCAGTGAGACCAATGAAGCCCAATTCCTGAATGAATGACTCTTATGAGTTGGTTATTGTGAATCAAAACACTTGAATCAGAGTGCTTACTGAATTGTTCTAACTCACTTATTGAACCGCAAGTCATTACTTTATTATGTGATTAAAGATACACATTATGCAATTGTAATCAGTGGCATTATTTTTTAATAAAAGATCAACTAATAAATTAATTAAATATGTTACAATATTTTTTGTTTGTTTAGTATTGTTATTTAATATATAGTTATGGGATGCCACATCTAAAAAGCATGAGAAATCTCATTACAAAAATCTGTGTAAACACTCCTTTTACAAAAATATTATGTATATTTGTTTATTTGTTTGCTTGTTTGGGATAGAAATTATTACTTTTAATACAATTTATACTTTAATTAAAAGCAACAGTGAATACATTTATAATGTTACACAAGTTTTCTATTCTGGTTGGTAAATAAATAAATAACTTCTATCACGGGTTCAAAAAATATTAAGCAATATTGATAATAAAAATAAATGATTCTTGAGAATCAAATCAGCATATAAGAATGATTTCTGAAATTCAGCTTTGCTATCACAGGAATGATTTCCATTTATTAAAATAGATGTAATATATAGGGATGTAACGATTAACCGCGAGCCGGTTGAAAATCGATTCAAATATGTGACGATTCAAATCGGTTGAGATGCTAAACAAATCGCGATTCATTTAGGTGTAGGAGTTTATATAAATGTATGTCTGAGGGGAACTTACTGTCTTTAGAAAAGTTTAGATGGTATTTTTTCTTTTCATCTTGCATCTAGTTTCAATTTCACAAAGAAATGTGCAGCATTTTGTCCAAGCAATAATAAAAGGACACATTTAATTTATAATTTGTCTTAAATCTCATTTTGTTAAAAAACAAAACAAATCGTGAATCGAATCGAATTGTGAAATCAAAACCGTGAATCGAATCGAATCGTGAGTTGAGTGAATCGTTACATCCCTAGTAATATACTAAATATATTAAAAGGGAAAAGCGTTATTTTAAATTGTAATAATATTTTGCAATATTACTGTTTTTACTGTATTTTCGATTTTAATAAGCGTAGCCTTGGTTGGTATAAAAGGCTTCTTTCAAAAACATTTAAAAATCTTACCGACCTCAAACTTGTGAACGGCAGTTTATATTTGTTCGTAAACTCTAAAAATGAATACATCATGTTTATTTTTCCAAACATTTCATTTCTTTAAAAGAATCCATATTTGAACTGTCAAGAAATATGAATCATTAATTGGAATCAGAACCAGAATCTTTAAATTCCTCAGGATTCCCATCCTTACCAACTACAGCAGCATTATCTTTCTTCTAAAGCTAGTTGGCCAAAGAATGCAACACACCAGCCTCCAAACCCAACATACGCTGCTTTCCGCTGGGTTTCATCACTGTCAAAACAAGAGCAATGCCTCAACGGACCACCATTACAATCAGAACCTCCAATAACAACAAAACGCACGTATAGACCTCAAGCCCTTTGAAAATGATCCCTTTGTTGCGTCCAATCAGGCTTTACAGCCGCCTTTGTAATCGAGACAAGTCAAAACCAACCGCTGCCCCTGGTTCATGTGTGATACGACCGTCAGCGATACTCAGACTTCTAGGGTTTGTTTTGCTTAGTTTTGGCTTGGCTAAAATAGCTCTTTATGTCTGTAATCTGGCTTGTGCTTCCTCCAAACCTACACATTTACTGATGGTTTTGAGAGTTTTTTAAAGTTTCAGCCAAACTACCCCCTTAAACCAGATGTTTATAAAGAGAGACTGCAAGAGAAGCAAAAATAACAGTATTAAAGTGCATATCCATAAGCCTGCTGGCAACATCAGCGAGAATCTACTGTATTACACTCTTCGAAAAAAAAGGTACAAAGCAGTCACTGGGGTGGTATCCTAAGGTAAAAAAGCTAAAAGGTTCATCTTTGTACCTTATTTACTCCTAAATGGTACATATTAATATCTTAAAGGTACATACAAGAACTTTAAAAGTACATATTAGTACCTAATGTTTACCTGGACAGATCTAACAATATATTTTAATGAACAAATGTGCATTAAAGGCATTATAAAAATACACTGGCAGTAAAAAACACAACCAGAAGGCAATAAAAGGTCTTACCATCTGAGAACGACTCTTGGGGCATCCATTAATGTCCTCAATCTTCTCATTTGCTGTGGTTTCCAAAAAGAGAGAGAAATACAGACAAATTAATTGCTAAAAAAAAGAAGAAAATAAGTGACATATTTCATTAATTGTAAGCCTCAAGTGCAGTATGTCCTTTCTGCGTCTGTGCCGGACAGATTTTTGACCCCTAATGTGGAAACTAGATCAAGTTTGAGCAACTGTGTGGCAGAGCCTGCTGGGATGCGACTGGGGCTTTCCTGAGGGTGTCTGCTCTCCACCCTGCATCCCGGCGGGCCCGTCCCCAGCCCCCACCCCACGGCAGCTGAAACAGGGCCGTTCACTCACAGCTGACAACTGCACGCATGCCTCCAATGACAGCTACATGCCTGCAGGAATCACTTTACCTCCTGCTCTGTGGGGAAAATGTGTCAGGAATGTGTAAGATGTCAGGTGAGTAAGCATGGAGGACAGACACACCTGAGACGGGCTGTCTCAACAGAGGGGCTCTCGGACTACCGGAGAACCATCTGGGTGGCCATGTCTTCTAAATAATTTGTGATTTAATTATTATTTTATAATGTTATTTTCATATGGAAGCCCGTTTCCGTATTAAAAAAATAAAAAAGGTAATGGCAATCTTTTATCTCACAAATACATCGAGATGGCGCCGCAAATGGCAGCCACGACGCTGAGCTCCGCAATTCTTCTGATGTTTTTGTTTGTTTGTTCTGTGTTTTGTCATTCTTCTTCTATAATTTTACCAGAGACGAACTCCAACAGCTGTTGTTCAAACGTGCGTGTAGACACAGAAGAGGGAAACGCGCCGGCGCCCTGGTTAAGCTCCGCAAGCGCGGCTTTCGAACTGCGCTCCCAAGCATTCATCTCGTGAATGTCCATTCCCTTCTTAACAAAACAGATGAACTTCTTCTCCTCCCCCTGACCAACAAGGACTTTTCAAACTCTGCTGCACTGCGCTTCACTGAAACCTGGCTGAGTGAAGCCATTCCGGATAACGCGCTTCATCTGCCAGAGACAGTAATATACTGGATCACTGTTACACTACAATAAAGGATGCATATCACTTTGTCCCACGAGCAGCTTTGGGGCTCTCTGATCACTGTTTGGTTCATCTTATACCAACCTACAGGCAGAAACTGAAATCAGCTAAACCTGTTTTAAGGACTGTTAAAAGATGGACTAATGAAGCAGAGCGGGATTTACAAGCCTGTTTCGACCTCACTGATTGGAGTGTTTTTGAAGCTGCTGCCACCGATCTGGACGAGCTCACAGAGACTGTAACTTCATATATCAATTTCTGTGAGGATATGTGCATCCCCACCAGGACATTCTTATCATACAATAATGATAAACCGTGGTTTCCTGGGAAACTCAAACAGCTTCGTCATGCCAAAGAGGATGCTTACAACAGGTCTGGGGACGATGCAGTCAACATGGGACTGCATTACATCCTGCAAAACCTCGACAGACCTGGGAATTACGCAAGGATCCTATTTGTGGACTTCAGTTCGGCCTTCAATACCATCATGCCTGACCTTCTCTCCGACAAACTGACACAGCTCTCTGTGCCCACCTTCATCTGTCAGTGGATCACCAGCTTTCTAACAGACAGGCAGCAGCTAGTGAGGCTGGGCAAACTCACATCCAGGACTATCGCCATCAGCACTGGCGCCCCTCAGGGTTGTGTTCTCTCCCCACTGCTCTTCTCTCTCTACACGAATGACTGCAC